GCTCACGGCCGTTAGTAAACCTTTCATAAAAGACGCCTCATAACACAAAAAGCGTGTTGAGTGTGATCAGCCCCTAAGCAGTGTGCTAATGCTCGTGACCGCAAGTAAATCTTTCAAAAAAGCCGCCTCTCAACGGAAAAAAGCGCATTTAGTGTGATCGGCCCCTAAATCAGCCCTTAGGCGCTTGTCAAAGAAGTTTTAGCGGTCCAGAGTGATCGATAGAGATGGAAACATTATGAGCTGTTTTGTATTAAATATTGTTTTGAAAGTACTCGTATTGTGAAATATATTATCAGCCTAATATGAATGTTTATTTATTTATTTATTTATTTTAAAACAGTTTGATTTAGAGACTAAAATAATGAGGTAAATGAGGGATTAAAAAAAAAAAGAAATCAGATCTTAAACGTTATGATTTTGAAATGGAAAGACGGTTTACTGAAAGCCATCGGGCTGGCTGGCTGAAAATAAAGGTCCTTGTGCAGGTACGCCATTCCTGAAGAATATCTAATATCATATTTTTACAAAAAAAAAAAAACTGATTCAAATACATCCTTAATATTCTACGTACAATATCCAGCAGTTATACAAAAATTTTGTTGTATGCTAAAGTTTCAAAGCAAATGTAAGAATGTCAATACTATGTTTAATAATAGAGCAAGTCTCAGAAAATAAAAGTCAGTGACCTACAAATCAAGTGCTTTTCAAGCAAGAATAAATGTAAGTACATCTCTTACTAATTCTTATTTCAAAAGATATAAACTGGAACGATGGCAAACCTTCACAACAACAAAACAACTTATGAAATTTCACCACACATTTATCATTATTTTGCTCTGAATCTAAAATCCTAAATTATTCAGATGAAGAAACGGGCTATTTCCTCTTACATGTTCTGTCACGGCACATGAATCTCATTTGCACTTGTTTGTATGTGGCGGCGTCTCAATCCACACGCAAATGTCTCAAATCACAAGCAGGCCTGAAACTAGAGACAAATAAAACAATGCCTTATATTCTGACAAATAAACTTAGAACAACATACAGTTTCATTTTGGAACATTTCGGCCATTGAAAGTGAACAGGTTTTTTGATAGACTGTCACTATACCTTGAGTTTTTGCTCTCTCCTCCTGTTAGCTCTGTTACAGATTATCTCTCATCTGCTTATATTAGCAGTCATAGGATCGCAGATCATTTGAGCTAATTCGTTCCACCTGTCTCTTATTCCCTTTTCCTATTTATAGCACAACGTTTCTCTTCATGTTTGTCAGTATGTTGTCAATTATTTGTGTGCATATTATTTTGTTACTTACAGTGTATTTATGTCCAGCACTGACGATGAGTGAGTGTCCTGTTGTTTGGACGTTTTTTCCACAGCACTTCCCCAGCGCTCACCCGACTGGATGTTTACTTTGATTTTTGATTTTTCCAGGACTACCTCCTCAGAAAAGTCTTTGTTTCACTCTTTGTTTTTACTTGTCATAGTATAGAGCTAAAAATATGCCAAAACAATCTGTATTTGAAATGTGTTAATTTGAATTATTGACAATTGCATTTGAATAAATCAGAATTTTTATTTGCCGTTCATTTTTTTTTATTTGAATTTCATAACTTGAATATTGAACACAACTGAAGACTGAAGACAACTGAATTTTTCAAGGCTGAATTTTTTTTAATAGACATTTTCAAACTTCAGTTTTTTTGTGTTCTGAATTCATAGACTGCAGATTTCCAGTTTGTAAAAAATGATGAAGAAATTCAGAAAATCACATTCAATATTTTACAATTCAAAACCTAAAATTTAGATTGTGAAATTCAGATTCAGCAGAAAGTAGGTCAGGGGTGATCAACAGGGAAGAATAGACAATCATCAAAAAGTCAAAGAATCACTCAGGTCTGCTTGATTTATAGTTATGGACGGATTACGAGTCGGGGCTTTGTTGAGGTGTTTCTGAAAAAGGTAAAAAATAAAAAATAATAATAATAATTTATCTACATAAAGTCTATTGTAAAATTAGACTCATATGTATTTTAGCTTTAAGTATAGGGAAGGCTGCTTTTATTTTCGGGTCACATAAAACAAACCTTATGTTGAAAACTCAAGTGGCTTTCCCTGTATTCTATTTACAACAATATAGACTCTTACTGTACAACAATAAACAACTCTTATGTTGTTGATGTTCTGAATTTTTTCATCTTAAAACTTGAAACTGTATTTTTACAAACTGTGGACATCTGCAGTCTATGAACTCAGAACACCAAAAATCTGATGTTGGAAAATACGAAAAATCTGCCTTGAAAAGTTCAGTTGTCTTACATTTCAGATGTTCAACATTCAAATTAAGAAATTCAAATTCAAAAAATTGTTAACGACATATAAAAATTCAGATTCATTAAATTACAATTTTCAATAATTCAAATTAACACAATTCAAATTCAGTTTGTTTTGGCATATTGTTAGTTCCTTATGTTCGCTCTTTCTTTTACTTGAGATATACGCAACACTTAAAAACTGTAAAGTTGCATTCCCTGAATTTCCTGACCACATTTGGGATTGCATTCAATTCAATTTTTATTTTTTAGCATTATTTTAGTGCCATTCCTTGTCTTAATGGGGAGGTTATCTGGTCTGTTTATTTATCCTACTGTTGAAAAGCTTCTTGTAATGACCAGTTATCTATGACATGGCTCCATTTATTTCAATGGTGATTGTCACTACATTAAGATATAAAGCAGTTCATTTTTATTTGGGTATATTGACATTATATCAGTTAACATAAGCTAATTTCTTAAACTTCAAATGCGGCGACCATAATTTGTATGGCTAAACATGATAACCACATCTACCATACTTTTTGTTGTATATTTCATAGATTCATCTTAGAAGTAATTGAACACAGGGAGAACATGTTGCAAGTGTGTTTTTTTGTTTTGTTTGAGGAAATCCTTTTCGTAAAAGGTAAAAGTAATTTTACGCACATTCATACATTTAATTGTCACTGAGAATCATTGTTTTTCATGTGGCGGCAGCAGTTAGAAGAGCTCTGAGAGTCTGGCACAGTTCAGCTGAGTGAGTTTTTCCATCACGTGAGTCAGATATACGAGGCAAATATAGGAATCCTCCTCTGTTCATGTTTTGCATGCATGACTGCCTCAAAACATCCCATCATACCACTAGATTAATATTTCAGTGATGTGAGAGGCAAATTAAATGCGTGTGCATGTATGTGTATGTGTGTGTGTGTGTGCATATGTGCTCATGTGTGAGAGTTCATGCATTTCACTGCATGTTTCATATGTGATGAAAATAGCATGTCCTACTGACCTCTGTTTTCCTCTGATCTTCTAAAATGCATTTCTGTCAGGATGACAATTTACGGGTTATGTTAAGTCAGGTATATAAATGATGACTCTTTTACATTCATTAATTCCATCATAGGGGCGGCCCGATGGGTCAGTGGTTAGCACTGTTGCCGCACAGCAAAAAGGTCACCGTTTCAAGTCCAGGCTGGGTCAGTTGGCATTTCTGTGAGGAGTTGAGCCCGTGTTGGCGTGGGTTTCCTCCGGGTGCTCTGGTTTCCCCCACAGCCCAAAGACAGCCTTTTTGAGGGATGTAAAGAAACCAATGGTCCAAACAAATTTCCTGTTTTACATTTTTAATTTCTACAGCTTCCGAGAATCCAAAAAGAGACAAATGTTAATAAATAATGTTATGATAGCTGTTTTAACATTAAGTTATGTTTGATTTGCCTCTTGTTACAGTTAAGAAATAGTTTGATAACAAGCAGGAAATGCTCAAGGGCCAATGACATCGCCACATTGAAATGGTCTACAGGATAATTGGCTAAACTTAATTGGCCTTAGTGTATGCATGGAAATGAGAGAGTGTATGGGTGTTGTGGCCGGAAGGGCATCCACAGCGTAAAACATATGCTGGATAAGTTGATAGGTCATTCCACTGTGGCGACCCCCTGATGAAAAGAGACTAAGCCAAAGGAAAATAAATGAATGAATTATATCATCATTAAACGAAGAGAATTCCAAACATTATTAGCCTGACTATTGTATTTCTCCAGTGTGATCAAATATTTTCTCTCGATTGTATTCACATTTTATTATCATAAATGATTTTAAACTTGCCGGTAAATGGATTAAATTGACGCATAGTATTTAAAGGTGACCTATTATGTCCCTTTTTACTAGGTGTAAAATAAACCTCTGATGTCCCTAGAGTGTGTCTGTGAAGTTTCAGCTCAAAATACCACACAAATAATGTTTTATAATTCTTTGAAGCTGCCCTTATTAGGCTTTGATCTTATGTGTGGTGTTTTAGTGTCGCTTTAAATTCAAATGAGATTGTGCTCTTTGCTTTGTTTAGATTTTAGTAACTATAACTTTGGCTTTTTATTCAGTTTGTGGTATCATTTTATCTGTGTAATGTGTAATCTATTCATAAACATTGATGTGGAAAAACAGCGCCTCAGTGCGTCCTCGTGGGTGCGCTGGGGAAGGGGTTTTAACCTCTTACTGTTCCTATTGGCTATAGAAAAAAAAAAAAACGTGTCAAGCCATGAGAACCGAACCGAAAACAGTGTTAAAAAAATCAAGGTATGTATTGAACCGTGAGCTAACTGTATTGTTGCATCCCTAATACACACACACACACACACACAAAATTTATTTATATTACGACCAACCCAGATTAATGAGGTAAATAAGTGACTTTGTTAACATCAGATGTTCTCTGAGCAGATCAATGTCTCATAATAAAATGTAAGTGTGCTAAAAGACCACTTGAAAAAAACACCAACGAGCCAATATATATATATATATATATACTACATATATATCTATACATATGCATGAGGTATTAAGATATAAAATGAAATAAAACATAAACAGAGACTGAAAGCATTATTTTACATAAATCCTGTTTTCTTTTCAATCTGGATATAAAATCTTGACATTTTGAAATGTTTTTTTTTCCAATGACAAAAAAAAAGTTTACCATGCATTTGGGGTCACAGAGTAGCAGATGTGAGCTGAATGATGTGGAAGTGTGTCATGTTTAAAGGCCTGGGGCTCTCTGGGTTCCTCTGAATACAGCATGGCCAAACTCTTGAGTTAGGAAGTGTTTGTGAGTCGTGCCAGACCACATCTCCTGCAAACACACACAAGCATGAAGACAGGAAAAAGAGGACAACTGGGCTGTAGGAATCATAAAACCATTATGGATATAGCGGATTATAATCAGCTCTGTGTGGAGTAAATTCATTGGCAAAACTTCCCCCAGTTCCCCATGCACGGCTTAAGGCTAGTCTTAGATTAAATTGCATGTTTAAGGCATCTTAACTGAAAATCACTTGCAGATATCTTAAAATACATCAGTGACATGGTTTTGTCTATTGAAACACAACAGCAATGTGTTTTGTAATGCAGTTTCATTGGCCTAAATAACCTAGTAGTCTAGTCCTGGCTTAAAGGTGCAATAGGAGAGCTTGAAGCACTGAAACCATCCCTACTGGTACATATCACCCTCTGAAATGCATTTCAGAGTAAAAACAAAAATGACTGCCATATTAAAGTGTAGTTCCAAACCAAAGCCCTCAAAACTGGCCACTTCGAAGGACCTTTCAGAATGAAGAATTCAGGAACCCATGGTTCTTTGTGCAGGGAAGTTGTTTATGATCACACAGAATGACAACTGAAAGCTTGACTTTACCTATATATGTATGTATGTATATTATTATTCTATAGGCAACTGGTCTAATGTATATAAAGGTAAAAAAATTATAAATAAAATATTATTTTTATATATACACTACCTGGCAAAAGTCATCTGGAATGGCATAGAAAGCGTTCTTGTAGGACTTCCAGAGTCAACAGGACTATCAATGAATCTTTGTATTCATTTTCAATGCCTCCATCTTACCTCGGACATGCTCAAATATGTTCATGTCTGGTGACTGGGCTGGCCAGTCCTGGAGCACCTTGACCTTCTTTGCTTTCAGGAACTTTGATGTGGAGGCTGAAGTATGAGCAGGAGCGCTATCCTGCTGAAGAATTTGCCCTCTCCTGTGGTTTGTTATGTAATGGGCAGCATAAATGTCTTGATACCTCAGGCTGTTGATGTTGCCATCTACTCTGCAGATCTCTCGTTCGCCCCATACTGAAATGTAACCCAAACCATGATTTTTCCTTCACCAAACTTGACTGATTTCAGTGAGAATCTCGGGTCCATGCAGGTTCCAGTAGGTCTTCTGCAGTATTTGTGACGATTTAGATGCAGTTCAACAGATGATTCATCAGAAAAATCTACTTCTGCCACTTTTCCAAATGGTCAACTAGAAGTCAAGGTATTATTTGGGATCTTACAACAGGATCGACGACAAGACTTTTGTCAGGTAGTGTACAAACTGCAGTATATAACAAACATAAAAAATAATGTGCACCTTAGACGTTCCAAGCATGTTTTGTGAGGGCGTCAGAACAAAAAGTGTGATGAAAGGCTCACCTCTCATTAAGATGATGCAGAAGTGTGTTTTGACCCCAACACCCTTCATCCCTTCGAAGCCATCACTTCGGAGGGTCAATCCTTCGAAGGGATTAAGGCATAGGGATGAGCCCTTCTGAATGGAATGCTTTGTATGTCTTCAAATATCCATCCAAAGCCATGCCTCCTGAACGCATGAACGGAATAGACAACATCACTACATTACATCACGTAACATTCACCAGAGAGAAAACTTTATAGTACTGGTAGTGATTACAACACCAAACTTAGAAAAGTAAAGGTAGGTTGTTGATGTTTGTCTTTCATTTTCCTCTCTGTCCTTGAATGCTATTGCAATCATTTCTGTGTAAACAGCATGCGCCATGGTCTCCAATCATATATTTAGACAAGCAGGTAGGAGCGCCATTCGAAATGTTTAGACCAAATGTTTTGATTGATTTGATTAGACTCTTTTCTTGGTCCTACACTTTCCACAGAATCTTAAAATGCATATACATTTGGACCACTTAATCATTTCTATCAGGATTTGAAAAGACTTTTAATCATCTATTGCACCTTTAAGCTATGTTTGTGAAACCAACACTTTATAACTAATTTATGCATGTGGAATAACTGTAATTCTAACCCTAACAACACAATAATAATAGTTTATAGCAGAGATGCCCAAACTAGGGTCTGCTGGCCAAAGCTGGCCCGTGTTAATCTTTAATTTGGCCTGTCATCCCATCTGGGAATGATTGGAATCCTTTCAAGAGTGTCAATTCAAATTGAATGTCTTCTTTGTTTGTTTTATTGTTAAAAGCTAACTGAAATGAAATGTTTCAATTATAAATGGTGTAAATGAATCAGATTTTGTTTAAATATACATAAAGTTACTCGATAGTGCAGAGACTTTAGTGAGCAAATCAAGACAAAGGCAGATTCTGCTTGACTAATGTAATCTGCATTGAACTGCAGTGTTATAAATGTGATTGTGTTTTTCTTGTAATGGGTTATCATGTAAAACGTTATACTGCATTAGTAAATACGATTTAAAGTAATGCTTTCTATTTATTTTAAAATATTATTAAATAATAACTAAATTACCCATGGCAACCTTAATGTAATATAGTTTGGTATATTTATATTTGGCCTACGGCTCTCAATGATGTTTGGTTTTGGGCCCTTCAAGCGAAAATGTTTGTAGACCCCTGGTTTATAGCAGTAGTTTGTTACTAATTAGAACACAGTAGTTTGAAACCAAAAAAAAAAAAATATTTATATATTTTAAAAATGACTGTCAATAACAATTAATAAAAAAAATGAACTGACTGGAAAACAAAGGCTGAGTCTGAAATCGCCTGCTACTAGAGTAAGTACCACATTTGAACTTATTGAACTTACTACACAACCATCAGAAAAGTATGTGCTATATAGTATGAATGTCAGTAGAAATTTAGAGGTACATGTACATTCACCATGGCTGCGTCTGAAATTGCATAATTCCATACTATACAGTACGCTAAAATCAGTATGCAAGCCGAGTAGTATGTCTGAATTCATAGAATTCAAAAATCAGTATGCAAGAAGTACCCGGATGACATACGATTTCCGGCAAGATTCTTAAGTGTACGTTCTATGCACGCTGCGCTATCCCATGATGCCCTGTGAGAGAATTTATGAATGAGAGTGAAGCGATGCAACTCAAGGGTAGGTCACGTGATCAGGACAAAATGGCAGATGTCCGAATTTCATTTCTACTGCTCACATTCATACTGTATAGCACGTACTTTTTTTAAAGGTCGAGTAGTGTTTAAATTCCATTGCAGTACCTACTGAGTAGTAGGCGGTCTATAGTGAAGCCGCACTACATAATCTTGTCAAAAGTAGTAGGTCATTCAGATACTTCTTGCCTACTTGTTTTTTGAATACTATAAATTTAGACTTACCACTCTAGTCTAATACTGTTTTTAACATACTATATAGTAGGGACGAAGGCAATTTCAGACACAGCCAAACCGTTCTTAAAAAAATATCAGAAGGAAGGAAAAAAAATAAGGAAAACTACATTTTAAACTTAAAAAAACCCAAATGTTTCTTACCGTAAATTGTAAAAAAATTGACCTTCTACAATATAAATTAAACATGACTAATTTGACAAATTAAGATCATTTTACTCATATATGTGTGTTTGGCAAAGGTTCGCGAAGAGAGAGCTGATGCTAAAGCATAAAGACAGGTCTATTCATGTGTGGTTACTCACTGGAAACACTTGGCTGATGAGGTTTGTGTGGTGAGAATTAATCTGACACAATGACTGATGGCAGTTCACTGCGAGCCAAGTTACAGATTTCAACACAACAACACAAACTGCCTGTTTCAATGCTCCAGAGAGTGAGCTTGTTTATTTATGCATTTTCCCCATACAGCCCACTCCCAAATCAAATGATTTGGTGGATCATAAAGACAAAACATTCACTGACAAATCCATGAATTAAACCAGGAGAAAAATACTACAGTTATCATCACTGAAAACACTGAAAATTCACTCATCAATAAAATAAATAAATAAATAAAAAACAGCAGAATTTTTATTTTTCTGTTATAAAATAACTATATAACTATGACCATGCACTACAAAATTTTTGTTAGTTGCTGTAAGCCAATGTTGGGTCAAATAATGCAAAAACTCAACTGCTGGGTTACAGCAACCCAGCATTTTTAGAGTGCATGTAATAATAATATATGGATATTTTCAAATGAAACGATAACTGTACATTATTATTACGATGCACTCTGTAATCCCAGGGTCTCAAACTCAATTCCTGGAGGGCCGCAGCTCTGCATAGTTTATCTCCAACCACCTCCAACTCACACCTGCTTAATAGTCTATATAGTAGTCTGAACAGCTTGTTTAGTTGGACCAGCTGTGCTTGATTAGGGTTGGAGCAAAACTGTGCAGAGCTGTGGCCCTCTAGGAATCCAGTTTGAGACCTATGCTGTTGAATCAAATATGGAAAATCCCAACAGCTGAGTTATTTTTATTTTTATTTTTTTACATTTAATTGAAAATAATGACTCAACATTTGGTTTGTCTTTAATTGACCAGGTAAAAACAGCTAAAAGTTCAAGTCCAGTTGAAGCTGTAGGTGGACTCAATAAATCTGCTTTTCTGTTGAATTTAAATGAGATGAGAGCTGGAAAGCCTCTACTGGTTTGATGGCCAAGAGCTGCATCAGCATCTGCAGACGTCAGCATCTCTGCCGTCAATCTACAGCAGTCCTGTCACTCCAAGCAGGACACTTAGAGAAGACACGACTGCTGGGTTATTATCTTCACATCTGAATATCATAAACTTTATATGACTGAGCTGAGAGAGCTAAACAGTGCTGATAATGTTTGACGTGTGTACAGTAACTAGCTTCCCAACACAGCAGATTTGGCCTGGATTTCTAATGGCATCACATATAAAACTCCTTCAGGAAATACATTCAGTGCGATGAAAACAAACAGTACATATTTGCATAATTGCATGTACACTATAGGCCTGAAATGATTTGTTAAGATTGTCGACAACAAGGACAGTAAAAATTGGACAGAACAGTTACTTTCGATTTAAAACCATTTATCTGCTTTTAAACAATTAATTTTAGTACAGAATTCAAACAATCAGTGTTTTTTGATTAATGCAGTTAGACATAATGCCAAAGTGCCAAGTACAAATATTATTTGAACCAAACACCTTTAGTACAATAATTTACTACTACTGAAAACTCAGAAATGTTGAAAAAATACAGTGTCTGCAAATCCATCTGTCAGTCCATCTATCAGATCAACTTTTAATCCAACCGTTCATCCATTTACCTATCTGTCTTTCCATTCATCCGTCTTCCAGATCATCCATCAATCCAACCGTCTTTCCATCCATCTGGATATAACCGTTTGTGCCTCCATCCTTCTACCCATTTGACTTTGTCCATCCATTTGTCTGTCCTGCAAGCTGTCTGTTCATCCAACAATCTATCCATCTCTCCATTTCTCCATCCATCTATCTGTCCACCCATCCATGCATCCATCAACCTAACTGTGTGATCAACTGTCCATCCCTCCATTACATTTTCTGTCCATGCAATTATTTATCCATCCAAATATTTTCTCCATCCATTCATCCATCCAACTGTCTGACCAACTGTCCATCCATCTATTGCATTTTCTTTCCAGCAAACAATTTATCCAACTGTCTTTTCCATCCATCCATCCATCCATCCATCCATCCATCCATTCATCCATTCATCCATCTGGCCGACCAATCGTTCATCCGTTCTATTGTCTGTTTATCCAACCATTTACCCATCCAAATATTTTGTCCATCCATCCATCTATCTATCCATTTTATTTTCTGTCCATCCAACCATTTACCCATCCACATATATTGTCCATCCATCTATTCATCCATTATATTGTCTGTCTATCCAACCATTTACCCATCTAAATATTTTGTCCATCCATCCTTCCATCCATCTATTCATCCAACTGTCCATCCATTCGTTATATTTTCTGTCCATTTAAAATATTGTCTGTCCATCCAACCAATAACCCATCCAAATATCCATCCATCAAACTGTCCATCCATCCATTATATTTTCTGTTCATCCAACCATTTACCCATCCAAATATTTTGTCCATCCATCCGTCCATCCATCCATTATATTATCTGTCCATCCAACGATTTATCCATCCAAAAATTTGTCCGTCCATCAATCCATCCATCCATCCATCCATCCATCCATCCATTATATTTTCTGTCGACCCATTTTATTGTCTGTCCATCCAACTATTTACCATCCAAATATTTTGTCCATCCATCCATTTTATTGTCTGTCCATCCAACCATTAACCCATCAAAATATTTTGTACATCCATCCATCTATTATATTTTCTGTCCATCCAGTATTTTGTCTGTCCTTCCACCCATTTAAATATATTTTTCTCTATTTATCCAACTGTCTGACCAACCGTCTATCCATTATATTTTCTGTTCATCCAACTGTCTTTTCCATCCATTCACCTGGCTGACCAACAATCCAATTATCCATTATATTGTCTGTTCACCAAACCCTTTATCCATCCAACTATCTTTTCCATCCATCCATCCAAGCAACCATCAATACCTATTGAACTGTAATATCGATTGTCCAACAATCTTTCTGCCTAGTTGACTGTCTCTATCTTTATTGGTCATCTGTTTGTCCATCAATCTATCCATTTAGCTATCTAGGTCTCCATTGGTCCAACCATCCATATATTTATTTAACTGTCTGACCATCCATGCATTCATTCAAGTGTCTGTCTATTTAACCATCTATCCAACCAAGTGCACATCCATCCAGCTGTCTGGCCGACCCTCCATCCATAGAATATTATAACTGTCTATCCGTCAATTAATCCATATATCCACCTACATCCTCATTCATCCATCCATATAATCATCCAAATGACCATCCGTCCACACATCTTAGTTTTCAAATGATTTCTTAACTTTTTGTAATGATACTGTGTTATGCAATCAAACAGTGTTTATTAAAGGAAAGCCTCCTGCCATCTGATGTGCCTGAGCAGATTGCTTTCGTGTTCAGGGCTTAAAGACCATATGAGACAATCCACCCCAACAGAGAGCAGAACTGATAAAAGAGGAAAGCGATCGAGGAGAGTGGAGGTTTTCTGTGGGCGAAGCACACATACAGAGGACGACTAATCAGCTCTGGGCAACAATAAAAAAAATCATTCCCTGCAAATGATTGTGCCACTTAAAGGGACAATTTACAATTTGAGGAAGAAAAATACCCCCTTGTGTCATTCCAAATCTGTGGCTTTGCTTCTTCAGTGGAACACAAAGGCGATGCACAATTAATCTGTCCTCATTATTCCAAAGAAAAGAAGATTTCTTCTTATTTTTTCACAAAAGTGTAATTAAAAGTCAAATGTCACTGCTAAGAGATAGCACTTTCATAGTTCAGCAAACATTAAAGCATAATGTATAACTCAAATTTCTCCAAAATGTCCTAAAACCATCAGAGCGAATAAAAAATTCACGGAACACAATTTAGGATAATATTCAGATATTCCTGAAGATTAAAAGAGTTCACCAATCCATCCATTATATTGTCTGTTCATTCAGCCATTTACTCATCCAAATATTTTGTCCATCCATCCATCCATCCATTATATTTTCTGTCCATCCATTATATTGTCTGACCATCCAACCATTTATCCATCCAAATATTTTGTCCATCCATTCATCCACTGTCCATTCATCCATTAGAATGTCTATTCATTGAACCATTTACTCATCCAAATATTTTGTCCATCCATCCGTTTATCCATCCATCCATCCATCCATCCATCGTCCATTTATTCATTATATTTTCTGTCCATCAATTATATTGTCTGTCCATCCAACCATTTACCCATCCAAATATTTTGTCTGTCCATCCATCCATCCAACTGTTCATCCATTATATTTTCTGTCCATCCATTATATTGTCTGTCTAGTCAAACATTTACCCATCCAAATATTTGGTCCATCCTTCCATCCATCCATCCATCCATCCATCCATCCATCCATCCATCCAGACATTTCTCCAGATTTTTTTAGTACCACGTCCATATTGTGAAATAGAATATATCAGAGCGAATATAAAATTCAGGGAGCACAATTTAAGATAATATTCGGATATTCCTGAGGACTAAAAAAAGAACATGGAGACCCCAAATACAATCTGCTGTCTAAGAGAAAAAGATGAGCTAGAATATACATACATATATATACATACATATATACATACATACATACATACATACATACATACATACATACATATATATATATATAATAGGATTTTTCTTTTACAAATTAAAAAATAATTATTCATAATAACAATTTAGCAATCAAAGCAACATATGGCGGAGTTTCACAGCAACTGGATACCACACAACATACCAGTAACACAGGAAATCATCAATTGTCTTAACATACTGAACTGATATAACTAGTTGTCTATAAAGGTGGCAATATACAACACCACAAATAACACCACAACACACATAAACAACATCTGAACATCACATAACACAAACTACAGCCGCAACAAATACTGCGTATAAAGTTTCCCCATATCAAAGTACACAGACAATTCTTTCATGCATTTGTCTTAGCATTCAATACAACTAGTTGTCAATAAAGATGGCAATAAAACACCACCACACATAACACTACACTACACTACACACACACACACACACACACACACACACACACACACACACACACACACACACATACATACACATACAAAACATCTGAATATTACATAAAAAGCTACAAGTAACAGCGGCAACATATATTGTTCATAAAGCATCCCCAATATAAAAGTATGCACAGAATTTATTCATGCAGCAATGCATGTTGGGAACGTTTGAGCAGTGTTGTTGGTCAATCAAAGCATTGATTTCACCCTTGAGTTCAAGCATGATGTTCAAAGAGCCTTCACATGGTCAACAGTTGCTCTTGAATGGTAAGATTTGTGAAAAACTAACTTATAACACTGAATGTGGGCAGCGCTGTGGCTCAGTGGTTAGCACTGTCGCCTCACAGCCAGAAGGTCACTGGTTCAAGTCCTGGCTCTGAACTCCAAATGCTTGAGATTACATAAACACTGGTAAGCAGAAACTATTCCCAGGTTTGTTTGTTTTTTGGTCTCTCTATGGATGTCAGAATATCACCATTTTTTAAAACCATCACATAAGAAAAAATGCAATTTGAGAAAACAGTTTGCGCAGAAACACCTGCCGGGTCTCTAAAAGCAAATGAAGGTTGCAGGAGACTTTAAAAACTAGCCCACAGCAGGTCATAGTAGAGCTGAATAATTCATCGAGGAGCCAGCCAGAACTCTCTGCTTTGGCTGAAGATAGAGAACCAACACACCATGGTCAAACAAATCAACAAAAACCACCTGAGACTGTTCTAATAGCAAAAAAGATAAGCAACTGCTGTAATTTTTTGTTAAAGCTTACCAGAAAAGCAAACTGTTGAATGTAGGACAAGTTATCTAAACTGCAAATATTTACAAACAAATTGTCGCATGACACTTCCAGTGTAAACGTCTTAATATTAAGACGTTAATATTAACGTCCACACACACACACACCCCCCACACACACACACACACACCGACCAATTTTGTGTACTCAATTTACCTATAGCGCCTTTGGACTGTGGGGGAAACCAGAGCACCTTGAGGAAACCCACGCCAACACTAGGAGAACATGCAAAGTCCATACAACATGCCTACTGTCCCAGCAGGGACTCAAACCAGCAATTTTTGTGCTTTGCAGCGACACTGCTAACCACTTTTTTTAATTCATGTTTCTTCAAAATATCTTCAGTATTCAACAGAAGAATCTCAACGGTTTGGAACCACTTAGCAGTGAGCAAATAGTGAGTAAATATTAAATTTTGGGGTGAGTTATCCCTTTAAGCCTCTACTAAATAAGCCCTGCTGTCTTCAAAACAAACCTCACCCAAGCATAATTTTGTTGAACACATTATGGAAGGCACTTCAACAGCTGCTCACCTTGCTTTCCAAAAGATGTTTTTGTGTTCAGGAAGCACTCAGCCGTCCCACTGAGATACTCTTGTCGAACCGACACATTCGCTGCCCAATTGAAAAAGCACGGAGATTGTTTCCGTGACCGGAGACGTTGTTCCAGCATATCTGTGGGAAATAGAATCGTCATGGCAACAGCTGTGCTTATAAACCCTGAAGAGGGAAAAACAAGTGCCCTTATCATTGTCCTAATGTGAACTCTCTTTATCACTCTACCTCAAAACAACAGCTCAAATCAAATAAATGCATCCTTAAACATGAAGTTTAGCAGAGGTGAATTCATGACGACAAAAACTCAGAAAATAAGTAATAACCAATAATAATATTAATAATAATAATTCCTTACATTTATATAGTGCTTTTCTGGACACTTAAAATGCTTTACACATTGAGGGAATCTCCTCATCCATCACCAGGGCTGGACTGGGACAAAAAAATCTGTGCACGGCCTTGATTATGTTTTATGTTCTATATTCCTATTCTATAAAAGCACAAAAGTCATGTATAGGAAATAATGAGAGTTGACGAATTAAAAACTTTATAACTAAAAAAATTAGAATCCACACTGGAAGTCCATCTTGTGTTTTTTGAGGGAGCCTATATTAAATAATGATCATAACAAAAACTGCCACACAGTTAATGTTGATCAACAAAATAAAGATAAATAATAAAAGCAATGTGTCAGATACCATTAAAAAATATTTAACTCAACAGTGAAACATCAAATATAGATTAAAGACTGTATATTGTCAATCAAATGAACTTTAACAATTAAAAATTAAAACCGGAGGAACCGGGGAAAACCCACGAGAACACGGGGAGAACATGCAAACACTGCGCAAGGAGTGCCGACTGACTTAATTAGAACCTGAACCTTTGGCCCTCCTGTTGCGAGGCAGTAGCGCTAGCCACTGAGCGGCTGTGTCGCCAAATCATAGAACGAAGAGGAGGAGGAAGAAGAAGGATCGGGGGAGGCAGGATATTTATAGTAGTTTTTGAATGATCTGATAGGCTAGCTAATGATTAGTGATAAGGATCAGCTGTAGTCGATCATATCATGTGCTCCTCTCAAAATTACTTTGTAAAATTTCACTTGTTTGGGCCCGTACTACATTTACATTTACATTTAGTCATTTAGCAGACGCTTTTATCCAAAGCGACTTACAAATGAGGACAAGGAAGCAATTTTCACAACTAAGAGCAACAATGAATAAGTGCTATAGGCAAGTTTCAGGTCTGTAAAGTCTAAGAAGGGAAGTATTAGTAGTATTAGTATTTTTTTTTTTTTGTACAGTTAGTGTGATATTCAAAGAGGCAATTGCAGATTAGGAAGTGAAGTGGAGACTAAATAGTTGAGTTTTTAGTCGTTTCTTGAAAGTAGCGAGTGACTCTGCTGTTCTGATGCAGTTAGGGAGTTCATTCCACCAACTGGGCAGATTGAGCGTGAGCGAAAGTGATTTCTTTCCTCTTTGGGATGGAACCACGAGGCGACGTTCATTCACAGAACGCAAGTTTCTGGAGGGCACATAGATCTGCAGAAGTGAGAGCAGATAAGAAGGAGCAAAGCCAGAAGTCACTTTGTAGGCAAACATCAGAGCTTTGAATTTGATGCGAGCAGCAACTGGCAGCCAGTACAAACGGACTAGCAGCGGAGTGACATGTGCTCGTTTAGGTTCACAAAAACTAAATGTAAAAAATAAATTGTATTAGTTTTTCACACTAGTTTTATCATGTATAAATTTTATTACAACCATATTGTATAAATATTATTGTAAATATATAGGCCTACATCATGCTGACGATCGAAAACAAAACGAAGAACTCTCATCCAGAAAGAGAACCACGGGGTGCCCGATTCTACGATTTAAAGATGTGGTGAAGAGAGACATAAAAAGCCCTCGACATAAACACACAGTCCAGGGAAGACCTCACAGCAGATGGCCTGAAGTGGAGGTGCACCATGACCAAACAGCTCAAGTGAAGTGAGAAGAAGATGATGCGTGCATCAGAGGACAAGCAAGTTCGCCAAAAGGTGCAGAACAACATCAGCCATGGAGCCACCTATTGATAAGACTTCTGCTGCAAAAAATGTCTCTCCCGTATTGGTCTCTTATGCCACCAACAATGACTGGTCTTAGACAATCAGTCATGCCTCAAGATAAGAATTAGGATATGTCATCCATTGTCAACACTGACTGACGAAGGCCTACAAAAAAACGTCTTCTGACCGAGTGCATCTTAAAAGACATGAATGACACTCCTCATAGAGCTTGAGAAGCATACAGTTCATTATGATCTATATAATTTGTAGAATAAAGATTTGCAGGTTAAGGAAAAAGCATAAGAGGGAGTTGCCACTTGGCTTTGGTGCAGACGAAAAGTAAAAATAAAAAGTATTTATATAGACAGACAGTTAACTAGTTAGAATACACAGAAATAGATTAATTTGTGCAACAGCTGCCGATCCGCTGCTTGCTGCAGACGCAAAAGGCAAACGTCTGTGCGCTGCTTCTGCTCTCCATAAGCGTGAATGCAGTGTGAAACAGGCATGATTCTCAACTATTTTCACAAATACACACCGACGTTGCACGCTCACACATAGCCCAAAATGGGAGTTTATGATTGGGTCTGCCCAATGTCAATAAAGAAAAGAACCAATTGGCTGCAGATTATGTCACGAAAAAAAAAAACACCTTACTTTGAGAGCATCACAGATCACAGAATCATCAATAAATTATGTAGAAAAAAACTGCGAAGTGTTTTACAGGCCGATCAGATCATAAGAATAAAACAAAAAGTACGTTGGCCCAGCGAGAAACTGCCCGGTCTGCCAGATGGCCAGTCCACCCCTGTCCACCACCAGTGTGCAGCATCCACCTGGATGACGCGACAGCTGCCATATTGCGCCAGACTGCACACCACACACCAGCTGATTGGTGGAGACGAGACAGAGTGATGAAGCCAATTAAGATTAGGGGATGATTAGAGGCCATGATGGACAGAGGCCAGTGGGCAAACTTGGCAACAGAGACTCAAGACCTCGGTTTAACGTCTCATCTGAAAGACGGCAGAAATAAGTTATGAAATAAAACAGGGCGGATCAAAATTCTGACAATGATTGAATGTTGATTAAAAAGCAAAATGTTGTTTCCCAATACTCAAATGAATGCAGGTTGAATATCACTTTGATATGCAGAGGAAGATTTTATTTCACTAGGTTATGACCAATTCCACCAATGAATATTATTAAAATAAATACACAAGAGTGATGACAAAAAATAAAAGAGATGTAGTGTTAACATCTGTAGAACAGTGATGAAATAACAGCTTCAGCACAATCATTTATAATGGAGGTGTGTAACAAAATTCAAGTTTGATAAAGCTGCATTCATTACAGCCACAGGAATGAGGTAAGTGATTTGCTGAGTATAATATTATTCATCTGTTATGTCTGCAGTAAACAGTAGAGTTCAGTCAGCGAGGTTTCTACTCTTCTGGATGAAGAGAGGATGAAGTAATCAGTGGTAAAAAAAAGGAGCTTGTTTGACAATTCAGTTCTTTTCAGTCTGTTTTCTCGACATCTTTGCTTATCACAGTTATAAATTATTGCTGCCCTCTACTGGAAAGTCATTGACATTGAAACAGTAGGTTTTCATCATTAGTCTTCAAGTACATAAAATGTAGATTGTTGAGCATTCATGATTTATGATAATGGTAAAACGTGCCATTTTTAATATTATAGTGTGTGTATTATAGTGTGTGCTCTAAAATATATAAAAACAGTGATGCGAGTTATATAATTCTAAAATAAAATCCAGTCAAATTAATTATTAGTATGGAATAATATGGTTACAGCAGAGCAGAATAGCCCCACACATACACTCACCGGCACCTTCATTAGATACACCAGTCCAACTGTTCGTAAAACACAATTTTCTAATCAGCCTAATGGCAGCAGCTCAATCCATTTAGGCATGTAGACATGGTTAAGACGAACTGCTGCAGTTCAAAAATTAATCAAATAAAGGAATATAGAGAGTAGTAGCAAGACCTGAGGTATGAGACGTGTTTGAGAAGAGGCAGAAATGTCTCCAGCTCTTCCTCTGGTATGATGGTCCACATCAGGTTGAGTAAAGCTGCAGTGCAGTGCTGGAGTGTGAAGCACAGCACAGCACAATCACCAGAGTCTAGATCTCGGCACTGCAGATTAATGCAGTTCCCCACCGAACTCAACAGACTGGACACAAATCCAGCAAAGCCGCTCTCATAGATCTCTTTGATTACAGACAGCATGAAGGAAGAGCTCATCCTGTACAGACACATGTCATATTTACCATTAGTCATTATACATTACATACTAATTTACTTTAAATTATAATTTGAGGTTTCTTAGGCAACAGATTAAAAGAAATAAACATTGAAGACAGCATGACATATTCATCATTTTTATTTCCATAGTGTTTTATAGAATATCAACAGTGTTAAGGCTGCTTTACAAGAATGAATAGGAAATGATAAAAATGCTTGTCACTAATGTAAAAGATGTTTAAAGAGTTTTCAAAATGCAATTTTTTGAGAAGCAACTGATTTATTATGTGGTTTACCGTTTAAAAGTAATCCTGTTCAGAAGTGGCAGAATTTCTCTGATGTTGCACTGAACTTTGCTCTTCCTGAGGTCCACAGTGATTTGTTGATTGCTGTGCTGCAGAAAATAGTGAAGCTCTCTCCAGGTCAAGGAATAGGAAGTCAGATCTCCATTCACTCTCTGAAGAAAACATTGAGTCAATTCCTCTTCCTGAGTTTCGTAGACAAACTTAATCAGCTTCTGAAGAGTCTCTTTGGATGGTCTAAAAACATACACAACATTCATTATACTTTATATAATCATATACATCATTTGAACACTGCTAAAACGTGTCTTAGTGTCAGACCTGTGAGTCAGTGGGCCCTGGTGACACAGTAGGATAGATAGAGAAACAGGCTGAATATTGCAATCAGTCAAGTTTAGACAGTGGACGGTCCAGAGTCTCAGGAGGATGGCCAAACTGCTCAGGACCCTTGACAGACTTCTCTCTGAACACAATTCAATATTCAGTTCCAGTATGAGTTCATTAACAGTGACAGGAGCTCGAACCTTCAGAGACCTCAAGGTCTTCACTAGTCTCACCACCATATAACCACTCAGCCTGACGAAAAAAAACTATTCATAAGAATTAAATAATCAACATTGAAATCACTTGAATTAGTGAGTTGAATTAATGATTGAATTAGTAATCCTGTCTGCACCTGAGAGTGTGTATGTTTGTAATGCATCTGAAAAGAAGTCTTGTTCCTCTGATAGAGATTGCTTTCGGTCCTAATATGAGGTTGAGACTTTCAGAGGCGAATGACAGAAATTTCCCCACAGACCTGCAGGTTTTGGTGGTTAAAGCCGATTCAAGACTGATGGAGAAACCAAGAAGCTCAAACAGTGAAGTCACCAACTCTGGATCCTTTCTGAACTGGACCAGTTTTATGAGAGATAACAAACTCTGCTCTGAAAAGCTGAAAAGACAATAAAATAATTAATTTAACTGACCTAAGTTCATAAGTTCAATACATCTACTGACAGTAACAACTGTCAATAGATGTAGATTGTCTTACCTGAGCTGTGAGATGAAGGGCAGACACTGGAGGAAACTCATCACTTCACTCTCTTCCTATGAACATCCTCTCAGCTCTACTGGTTTCTTCTCTGTTTGGAGTTTCAGCACTTCCAGGAGGACAGAGGTCTTTCTCTCTGAGAGGTCTGTGATCCAGACATCAGGAGACTGGAAAACTGACTGTAATGCTGGAAGGAATCTACTGGCTGTTTTAGTCCTATAGTTCTTAACGTGTGAATAAAGATCCAGCAGGAAATCACTCTGTTTAATTCTGTCAGTCAATTGATAAGGAAAAGAGCTGTATGTGCAGGCTGATGATAATTGTTTCAGCATCTGCTCTCCTGTCTGTGTCTCAATCTCTGCTGCTTTAATGAAAAGTCTCAGAAGAAATCTGCTTTGGATGCTTTCACTCAGATTAGAGAATCTGTAAGATGGAAATTACAAATTTGTTTAATAGCAAAACATGCTAAATCTATATTACAAACATAATTGTAAACATCAATAAGATATAGGCAATGACAGGCTCTGACATGGATCCCCACTGGCAAAATTTTGAATGAATGAATGAATAAATGAATGAATGTATTTTTATAGTGCTTTCAACATATACTGCTATACATCCAAAGAGCTTTAAAGTCATTTGAAATGTCTGTCCTGACCCTCACCTGTGTGCATTACCACATTGATGAGAGGACAGACACAGTGCAACAGCACAAGTACTTTTACCACACACCAGATTCAAAGTCACAATACTGAGACAATAGGACCCCTGTAAACCACCATATCCAAACAGCATCCTAGTTTTACACATGTGGTCTACCATGCAAGTAATTATCATACCTAATATGCTAAGCTTTAGTGGGCAACCAGTCTTGGGTTACCGGATGAGGCCTTAAGGACACCCCTACGAGACAGCACCACCACACCCAGAGGCTTGAGGGATTCAGGGTGGATCTTTTTCACACCTGCTACCTTGCCACTGCAAAGCTTGCAGACTACCTTAGTCAACCTCTGCATCCCCCTTTCTGCTTCCTCAACAGAAGGCATATCACACTATTTATTTAATTTCAACAGCATCCTAAACACATAACTATTAATGCTTGGGTTTCTGAGAGTTAAAGTAAAGTAGGTTCAGTACCTGAGCTGTGAGATGAAGGGCAGACAGTGAAGGAAACACCTCACTTCACTCTCATCCTCTGAACATCCTCTCAGCTCTACTGGTTTCATTTCTGCTTGGAGCTTCAGCACTTCCAGTAGGATGGAAGTCTTTCCCACTGAGAGATCTATGATCCAGACATCAGGAGACTGAAAAATTGACTGTAATGTTGGAAGGATGCTCTTGCCTGTTTGAGTCTCACAGTTTACATTTGAGCAAAGATCTAGAAGAAATCCAGTCTGATCATAATAAAAATCTTCATCAGAGCCCTCTTCACCAAATGGAAAGTTTTCATAACTGCAAACAGATGACAGCAGAGTCAAGAATCTTGTTTCTGTATCGGTGTCATCTCTTATAGCACCAGCACATAATTGATGGAGAAATCCTACTGCAGATCCCTGTAGTTTATCATTAGTAATGTCTAAAAACCTGTAAAATACAATGAAAGCATCTCATTATTTTTTTGATAAACTGCATAATTTGCAGCATCACATGCCTCATGAACAAGACCACCCAAGGCTGTAGTTTGAAAATGTTTTAATTTTAATACACACTATGGGATGTCATTTTTGTCAATTGTATGATCACATGTATGCAGGTTGTGACAATAGGAACTAATAATATCTGTGTTGTGCATGGATCTGCATGGATGCCGACAATCTTGCAAAATCCTGTAAATCTTGGAAAGACCAGTTTCAACTCTACATGGAACTCACTATGTCGGACGTAGAGGAAAAAAACAAAGTCAAGCTGTTGCACTATTTAATCGACGAGAGTGGCCGGGAACTGCTGGAAACTTTAATGATTGACGTTGCAACGGATGCAAGAAAGGTAACAAACATCAATGCAAGGTTAGACGAACACTACAATCCTAGTCTAAATGAGACAGTAGAACGCTATCGATTCTTCACGAAAACTCAGGGAGTTGATCAGTCGATTGATAATTATGTAACGGAGCTAAGAATGCTCGCGAGGACATGCAGTTTCGGCGACATAAAAGACTCATTAATACGCGACAGAATTGTTTGTGGAATTAACGATGCAGGGCTGAGAGAGAGACTGCTTCGTGAGAGAGATCTGACTTTAGAAGCATGCGTGCGGATTTGTAGAGCAGCGGAGCTATCGCGGCAAAACAGCAAAGCCATTAAAGGGGCGGCAACAGAACAGGTGCACGGAGTAGACAAGCAACGCGGAAAGAGCAGTATCAAACCGGTAACATAATTACATGCAAATTCTGTGGTAAAAAACATGAAATGAACAAAAGGAAGTGTCCAGCTTTTGGAAAGAAATGTAAAAAAATGCGGAAAAGAAAACCACTTTGCAGCCACATGTAGATCTGTTAAAACAATGGAGAAAAAGAACGGTGCACAATCTCAACGAACAAGACAGTGATGAGTATGAGGATATTCTCACTGTTAGCGCAACAGACTCTGAGACTGTAAATAAAATAGAGAGCAAAAGAGAAAAGAAAACTCAGTTGTTTGCAGGAATGCTCATTGGAAAGGATGTTGTGAAATTTCAGATTGACTGTGGGGCAAGCTGCAATGTTATTCCTATAAACTTACTGAATCCGGACACAAAACTAGAAGACACCAAGACTGTGCTAGTAATGTACAACCAAAGCAAAGCGAAGCCGCTTGGAAAATGTAAACTAAAGATAAGAAATCCAAGAAACCAAAAGCTTTACAGGCTTGAATTTCAGGTGGTGGATGTTAATTGTATTGTGCCATTATTGGGCAAAAGAGCAAGTGAAGCCATGAATTTGATAAAAGTTCAATATGAAAACATCCTAGCAATAGACAGCATAGTGACCACAGAGCAGCCTTCCACCAGACCATGGTCAATACAGCACATAAGAACAGAATATGCTGATGTATTCACGGGTGATGGCTGTCTGGAGTGAGCATATAAAATTGAGATAGATGACACAGTAAAACCAGTACAGCTCCCCAAAAGAAGAGTTCCGGTGGCCATAATGAAACCCTTAAAAGAAGAACTACAAGATCTTCAGAGGAGATAAATTATTGCACCAGTAGAAAGGAGTACTGATTGGATCAGTAGTATGGTGGTTGTACAGAAGGCTAATGGCAGACCTAGGGTATGTATAGATCCTAGACCCCTAAATAAAGCTTTAAAGCGCAGCCATTTTCCACTACCAACCATCGACGACATACTCCCAGACCTATCAAAAGCCAGAGTCTTTACAGTTTGTGATGTTAAAAGTGGGTTTTGGCATGTCAAGCTAGAACAAGAGTCCAGTTATCTTACCACATTCTTTTCTCCCTTTGGAAGGTTTAGGTGGCTCCGGATGCCAATGGGCATAAGTCCAGCTCCTGAAATCTTTCAGCGCAAATTGACACTTGCGTTAGAAGGGCTACCAGGGATATATATAATAGCAGATGATGTGCTTATTACAGGACAGGGAGAGACGCAAGAAGCAGCAGAGAGAAACCATGATGCAAAATTAAAAGCATTCTTGACGCAATGCAGAGAGAAAGGTATCAAATTGAATGCAGACAAATTTAAACTGCGACAAAGAGAAGTCTCCTACATAGGACACCTGCTGACAGAGGACGGACTGAAAATCGACCCAGATAAAGTTAAAGCAATAACACACATGCCAAGACCAATGGATGTGAAAGGTATTCAAAGATTGTTGGGGATGGTTAATTACCTCTAAAGGTTTTGTGCACATCTGTCGGACCAGTGTGAAGTTTTGAGACATCTGACACACAAAGACAGCGAATGGAAATGGACTATACAACAAGAGGAGGCATTCAGCAAAATAAAGGAAACCATTGCTTATGCACCAGTACTGAAATACTACAACCCGGATGAGGAACTCACCGTCCAATGTGATGCCTCAGACACGGGCCTTGGTGCTGCACTAATGCAGAGAGGTAGGCCAATAGCATATGCCAGTAGAGCGCTAACACACACAGAGCGTGGTTACACACAAATAGAAAAGAAGTTTTTGGCTCTACTTTTCAGCATGGAAAAATTCCACCATTATACTTATGGGCGAAAAGTGACAGCACAAAGTGATCACAAACCACTAGAAAATATTCTTCGTAAGCCGCTACTGAGTGCTCCAAAAAGACTTCAAAGGATGGCGCCGAGACTTTAAAAGTATGACGTAGATGTTGTGTACAGAAGGAGAAGCACTTTAGCAGCATCTAGAACAGCAGCCTGTAAGTACATTTAAGATTTGTTTCAGTTGTTGTGTATGGTTTGAGGACTTGTTTCCAGCTGTTTGTGTAAAGTTGTAGGACATTTAAACTTGCTTTCAGTTGTGTATAATACTAGAAGTTGTTTAGCCACTGTTTCCTTGGTTACTATAAGAGCTTGTGTAGCGAACGCAGACGCGGTTCGCGTCGTCCGCCTCAGTTTCGGCCCTTGTTTTGATTCGGGAGGCGTGTCCAAACGCCAGGTAACCACTATATAGTGAGCACGGTAGCATTAGTCGGCAGGAGAAGCACTTTAGCAGCATCTAGAACAGCAGCCTGTAAGTACATTTAAGATTTGTTTCAGTTGTTGTGTATGGTTTGAGGACTTGTTTCCAGCTGTTTGTGTAAAGTTGTAGGACATTTAAACTTGCTTTCAGTTGTGTATAATACTAGAAGTTGTTTAGCCACTGTTTCCTTGGTTACTATAAGAGCTTGTGTAGCGAACGCAGACGCGGTTCGCGTCGTCCGCCTCAGTTTCGGCCCTTGTTTTGACTCTCGAGGCGTGTCCAAACGCCAGGTAACCACTATATAGTGAGCACGGTAGCATTAGTCGGCAGGAGAAGCACTTTAGCAGCATCTAGAACAGCAGCCTGTAAGTACATTTAAGATTTGTTTCAGTTGTTGTGTATGGTTTGAGGACTTGTTTCCAGCTGTTTGTGTAAAGTTGTAGGACATTTAAACTTGCTTTCAGTTGTGTATAATACTAGAAGTTGTTTAGCCACTGTTTCCTTGGTTACTATAAGAGCTTGTGTAGCGAACGCAGACGCGGTTCGCGTCGTCCGCCTCAGTTTCGGCCCTTGTTTTGACTCGGGAGGCGTGTCCAAACGCCAGGTAACCACTATATAGTGAGCACGGTAGCATTAGTCGGCAGGAGAAGCACTTTAGCAGCATCTAGAACAGCAGCCTGTAAGTACATTTAAGATTTGTTTCAGTTGTTGTGTATGGTTTGAGGACTTGTTTCCAGCTGTTTGTGTAAAGTTGTAGGACATTTAAACTTGCTTTCAGTTGTGTATA